GGGGGGGGGAGGGTGGGAATGTTTGCACGTGAGTCTGGGTGTGTGCTGCCTAGGAGCTGGATGGGTGACTGTTTGTGCAGGAGCAGTGGCTTTGTTTGTGAGTGTGACTCTATGTAGTTGTCTGTGTCTGGGTGTGGGTGATTATAGCTGAGACCTGGGTATCCATTGGTTATGTGTGTCTGTGAATGAGACTTACCCTGCTCCCTGAAACACTGCCAGATGTGGTTGCTGTTCGGTTGGCACCACTAGAGCCACTGCCCAGTCTAGACCCCTTCTTGCCATGCCGTGTGCTGTGCCCCTGTCTCCAGAGCCCAGACATCCCCTGTTCTGGGAATCAGAACCAGCTGTGTTAGGCAGAGCTTTGTCCCAGTATCAAGGGAACTGGTCTTGAGGTCTTTGCTGAGGGATGTACTCTGCCCCACCCTGTATTTTGGCCCAGCCTGCTTACTCCTGGGACCTGAATGAACAAACCACTTCTTACCATGGCTCCTGAAAGGACTAAGTGAAGTCATGAATAGAAAGCACTCCTGCATGATAGCTGCTTGGGACTCAGTAAGTGATCTCCCTTCTCTCCTCCCCAAGCCTTGAGTCCTAGGTTGAGGATGCTGCCCTGTGGGATGTCTGTTCTCTGGGGCACAGGTACAAATGTGGGTCTGTAGATAAACATGTTTCCATGCTTAAGTCTGAACCAGCATGATCAGAGTTCACATGACTGCGTTGTTGGGAATACATGGGTTTGTGTGTGGAATAGAATTGAGCAATAACAGTTTGTACCTGAGAATGTCTATCAGTAAAGTGGAAGAAGGTAAGTATATGTGGCTTAGGAGTGGGTGTGCCTGAGGATATGTGAGTACTGAGTTGTGTGAGTACCCAGCTGTGTCTGGGTGTCTGTTTGCAGGTAGAATGTGAGTCCATGAGTGTCAAAGGGTGTAAGCAGGTAGGTGTGGGTCCGTGAGCGTGAGCAGCTGGGCAGGAGGTAGGTGGGCAGCCTTGGCCACCATACCCTGACCTGCTGGGTCTTCTTCCCTCATACCCTGCTCAGGCTGGCAGCCAGATGCCTGGGCCCACTGGATGGGCCGGTGGCCACCTGCGGGATGAGCAGATTGCTGGGGGGGACGCTGGAGCGCGTCTGCAAGGCCGTGCTCCTTCTCTGCCTGCTGCACTTTCTCGTGGCCGTCATCCTCTATTTTGACGTCTATGCCCAGCACCTGGCCTTCTTTACCCGCTTCAGTGCCCGTGGCCCTGCCCGTGCCCTCCACCCAGCTGCCAGCAGCAACAGCAGCTACTCCCGGCCTAACACTACTGCCCCCAGCTCCGGGCTCTCTGAGGTCCCCAGTGCCCAGCCTGGCCCCACAGCTCCTGTGCTGCCGTCCTGTCCTGACTCACCGCCTGGCCTGGGTAAGCCTGGAGCGGGGAGGAGGGGGAGAGGGTCTTAATCAGTTTGGGGAGATGGAGTCTGGACCCATAGGGGTGCCAAGGGTCCAGGTCTGCTGTAAGAGGGCTATTTTGGGAGTTTCCTTGCCCACCCCCAGGCTGAGGGAGGGAGGCTGATGTCCCTGGATTCTGTCCAAGGCCCTGATTCCTGACACCATCCTGCCTGCAGTGGGCCGACTACTGATTGAGTTCGCCTCTCCCATGACACTGGAGCGGGTGCAGAGGGAGAACCCAGGTGTACTCCTGGGTGGCCGCTATACACCACCTGACTGCACCCCAGCCCAGACAGTGGCAGTCATCATCCCCTTTAGACACCGAGAGCACCACCTACGCTATTGGCTTCACTATCTGCACCCCATCTTGAGGCGGCAGCGGCTGCGCTACGGTGTCTATGTCATTAACCAGGTACGCTGTCTGTGGTCCCTGGCTAGATGCTAGCCACCAGGAAATCCACATGCACCTTTGGGAGTGCCTGCCCGCCCATAGGGGTGTGGAGGCCATGTGCCTGGTTCATTCATATGTGGGTAGGGGGCTTTTGGGGGTTCTTGTCTATGCATGGTAGCATGGATATTTAAACATTTGTGGCCATAGATAAATTGTCAGTGGGCACAGGAAGAGGTGTGTGTGCAGCAGCGCATGTGCATGTGAATGTTGGCATGTGTACTGGTTGCCATGTGGCCCACCCAGGGGACTCCGCTCAGTGCTTGAGCCCTTCAGTGTGCCTGGATCCCAGAGAGGATCTGACATAGGCCCTCCTTACCCATACAGACCTCTCAGACATGGGTCTGCATAGACCCCAGTGTATGTGTGGAGTTGGAACAGGCCCATGAGAGCACAGAGGGGCCTGGTCCAGCCTGGGGTTGGGAAGCAACCTTAGGGATGAGCAGGTGTCAGGGACCAGATGAGACCAGTGTCCTAGGAACTAGAGGACACAGGGCCCAGCCAGAAAGCTGGTTGCATGTGTTTGGGAACTTTTGGGTGAACATGCAGGGTCCAACATGTAGGCTGAGTGGCAAAGATGGGACTTGGAGAAGTTGGTGATGGCCAAACCAAGAAAGGTCTTGGGGAGCATGTTAAGCAGTTGGATTCCAGCCCACAGGTGGCACAGCACCACTGTGAGGGGAGTGATGTATATATTTGCTTTTCAGAAGGATTGCTTTTGTAGCATGTGGAAAGTGAGTGGAAAGGGGACCAGAGGCAGGGTGACCACTTGGGAAGAAATGATTAATGCCCAGGAAGGTGACTGTGCCTGTGAATAAGATGGTAATTGTGAGGATGACAAGGGCAGGCAGGTAAACAAATTATTCTGGACCAAGGAGAGAGGTCTGTGGTAGGAGGAGGTCTGAGAGTACTGTTGTGTGGTAGTCCCTAAAACCAACAATGTCTGACTTGCTCAGGGAGCAAAGGACATGAGAAGAGAAAGCTAGCACTTAAGGGATAGTTGGGGAAAGAGAGGCCACTCCAGAAGCTGAGATGGTTGGCTGGATGGTTGGAGGAGCCCAGGAGAGTACGGAATCCCGGAAGCCCAGCAGTCAGAGTCAGGAAGGAAACATGGCAGTTGCGTGACTGCTGTGGGGGAGTGAGGAGGGATGTGGACGAGAAGCGTCCAGTGGATTTAGCAACAAGGTGGGCCCAGCAAGAGCCATTTCAGGGGCATGGTGGGGGCGGAAGCAGATTGCAGTGGGTTGAAGAAGGAATCGGATTTGACAAAATGGAGATAACCAATTGGAGACAACTCTTTTAAAAGAATCTGTGTCGAGAAGGGAAGGCAAAAGGTAGGGTGGTGGCTGGAGGGAAATGTTTTTCCAGATGGGAGAGACTTAAGCAAGCTTCTGAGTCGTATGGGAGAAACCTAAGACTTATGGCTGGTGAGGGAAGTCAG